AAAAATGAACAAGTTCCATACCTGAAAATGCTAAAAGCTAGCTTTACCTTCTCTTTCGCTAGCCAATTTTGCCAAAGAAATTGCAAACTTCTGCGTCTCCATGGGTGAGAAAGAGAGGAGTAAGTTTTATACTTTTTCAGAAAGTTTTTGGTGGGCCACTGACCACCCTTGTCCAAGTGTGCCTCTGCCCCTGGGTTCGATGATGGGTAATTTCCGAAGTAATTAAAATTGACAAACCTTTCGACAAAAACAATGATACCACGCACTCCACGGATGAGTGAGGCCAAACTTATCATATTACAAGGCTAATCAATTGATTAATAGTCAAACACCCAACCCGTCGGATTGTTCGAGTAAGAGGGGCATTTGAGATCCAATATTGTCAATGGTTCTTGTAGAAATCGATGTCGATTGTTCCAAGTAAGGGGTATTTGAGATCCAATTTTGTCAATGGTTCTTGTAGAAATCGATGTCGAATTTCTAGATTCCAAAAACTGGGTCCTTAACTATTCTAATTTTTGTCTTGAAGTTCATATCATATTTTAAAAGTTGAATTGAGCTTTTGAACATGCATTGGTGGCTTAGATGAATTCAATTTTTATTTTATTTTTGAATTTACAAAAGCATATAAACTGGTGGTTTATCTTTAGCTCGTGACCAAGGGAATTGATTGAAATGAAGTTTAAGAACGAAGTCTTTGGCTCCATTCAAAAAAGTAGTGGAGAAAAAAGTTTTCCCCTTCTTAGAGATTTACCTATCTTATTTCGATTGTTACTTTACACTTTGCTAAATTCAAACAAATTCTGCTATCTAAATTGTATAAACAAACAAATTCTGCTATCTAAATTGTATAAACAAACAAATTTGAAGTTTGATTCTAATTAATTCATGCTATTACTTTCGTGTTTTATCGTTACATACAAGTAATTTAAAAAATTAAAGCAAACATACAAAAGTACTTCATTACATTTTTTATTATGCTTTACTGAACGTTTCTAATAGTGATTAAACACTCCCCACTAATATCATAATAGCGTACATTATTTATCAACAACCAAAGATAATAATTCTTACAATATATTTATTTTGCAATATCCAATAAATATTCGCAATGGGTGTGAGGTGTGGTCAGAGTTTATCTCTTTCACTATTGCTACTCCAGTATTTTCAATTTGTCAGCGCTGAAACTCTTGTGTAATGGTTAAATCTTTGATAACTATGATGAAAGCACGCTTTACCAATCCAAAGCTTTCATTGGAAAATGGCCTCCTATTCGACAAATCTTCCATAAAGAAAGAGGCAGGTCTCACTAACGATTTTGCTAATGCCACATACTAACATAATGAATTAAAAACACTTATAGCAGTGTTCCATTTCGATCACTGAACTTGTCCTTTGCTCTAAATTGGTCATTAAAATTTTATTTTTTATTTCGGGCATTTCATTAGCTAAATTAATGGAAATGTTAACTTGAAAAATCAGGTAGTACACTGTTATTAACATCATATCGGATAAAAACTAATGTTTTGAATATCAAAATAGACCAGTTCAATTAAGAACTAGTTTAGGTATAAGGTAAAAATAGAAAACACACTATTTGAGCGATAGAGCGTGGCATCGTGCGCAGCTGCCATCCACCGCTGGCAGCGGCTGTTGTCTTCACCACACCGCAGGTCATCTCAATCCGATTTTTCTACCCAAAATTGATTTTTCTTTTAAAAAACAATTTTCTTAAAAGCTGGAAACAAGAAATCAATAACAATTAACCATTGATTGTTCGAAAATTCAAAAACAACTTCTAATAAACACAAATATGGCTATGATACCACTGTTGAAAACTTATGCATGCACAACAAAATTTGAAATAATTTTAATTCCTTTAAGGTCTTTGTGTTAGATAAAAGTCGTGATTAGAATTATACTTATAGCAAATTCGTTAAACGCGTTTGAGAATTTTGATCACGATCTTCGCACTACTTTGTGAATCACAATCTTTTCGCACCACAATTGTCCAATTCGCCAACCTCCAATAGTAATCCATATAATGAGAGATTAGAATTTCTATTTCTTGTACTAGCAAAATTATAATAATTGTGAAATGTCGTGTGTTTTCACAAATCCTAACTATTTATTAATTTTAATATGTGCTTAATTAGAAGTTTTCGACTCGAGAAAAAGTTAGTTTAGATAAGAACACATTAAGTTAGACCCAATTGAACTTATTCCTACAACGTGTGTGTATAGATGACATAAGTCAGAATCAGTAGTTGTTTTGATAAAGATACATTCTAAATCTATTCTAATTAAAAATTCTATTACTCTACTTCAATTCTAACAGTGTATTCCAAGTCAAATGAGACTAGATTCCAAATTTTACCATGTTTACTATTTTAAAAATGAAAAATATAATTATACGATTGGCAGTTAATTAAACTTGGTTTAGAATTGAATTTTTTGAGATAATCTTTTTGGGATTTGACAGAGTTTAATAGTGATCATAATTCTATTATTTGAAATCAATTCTTATCCAAATTCCTTATATTACACCGTTTTTCAATTCTAGCTGCATACAAACTCAATTGAGAATTTCAAATATAAATATTATAAGAATTCTCATTATTTCACTATAGAAAATAAAGAGAGTCACGGTAGAGAGAGAAGGAGAGGAAAAAGTATAGAAAAATAATATGAGAACTTTTATGTGCAAGATTTTATTCTTTTTAATCTTTCAAAATCAAAGTAAGATACGTTGTGCAAGTGATTTGTTTTCGTATACTTTTTATATTCAGTGATTTGTATAACTATTATTTCATTACAAATAAATTGAAATGTCATGATTACTTTTGAATATAAAATTCAACAATTAGATAAAATACTATTAAAAATTTTACGCAAATAACTTGCATACCATTTTATCACGTATGAAATAAAAATATTATTTTATTGTAAATAAATTGGAATGTAATGATTACTTTTGAATATAAATCTTCAAAAGTTGAATAAAATACTATTAAAACTTCGTACCCTAACCAATTCTTAATTCATATAATCGAGGCATAGAATGTGAAATGATCTAATGCTCAATAAGAAAACATGCTTATGATATTCATAGAAATTTATCCAAATAGTTTAAAATATGAACTAAAGAAAAAAAAAATCAATATTTTCCAAATCAAAACATCTTGACTCATAGGAAATTAACATAAAGTTTCAAAACTTTAAATTTTAAACACTTAAACATCAACACAAAAACTAAAATTACTTCTAAGATCCTTCCATCAATCCATGGCACACGACGCCACCAATTATCATCATTCATCCGGTTTGCTTTAATCTGTAAATGAAATCCCAAATAAGGTAATTATTTCCAAAAAAAATGCAAAGTGAGATACATGCTATTCAATCTTGAAATAATATTAATAACAATAACATACAATCAATACCACATTTTCATAATGTTTAAGGCCCTATACACAAACCCGAATTTCACAAATAATTCATCCAAATTTTCAGATTTCTTATCATTTCATCGCAAAATTCTCTAAAGTTTTATAAAGAAAAGAAAAGAAAAGAAAGAAGTGAAGAATTTTAAAACCGAGGAAAAGTGCTTAATTTCAAAGAGTTTTAAAGAAAAGATGAGATGAGATATTAATTATGTGCAAAGTGTTTATTCATCTTGATATAATATTTTTACAATCCTACATGATATGCTAATAGCTCTTCCGTTCGTTATTGTTCGGATTTGGTGATTTATGAAATGTACAAAAAATTTCATTCGATATGGTTCGGTTTGTTTGTTTTGAATGTTATACATAAAGGTATTGTGCTTTTAATTTGAAGCCTTCTAGTCATTTAATGTAAACTTTCTCATTTAATTTATAATTTTAAAATGCAATCTTAAAATTCGTTTGATGTATATGAAAGTTATACAAGATTACTTATGCAATTTAAATTTTGAGGGTTATTTATAAATTTGCGCATGATAATACACGATGCTAAAGATCATGGAGATATTTCTATGCTAATACATTCTTAATTGATATTCTAGTTATGTCTTCGATTTTATCTATTCATAATCTCCATAAAGATGTAATCGCATTGTAGATAAAAATATGTTGATTTTATCCTGGAAAAAAAAAATTGCCTAGCACGTAAGAATATCCATTCTCAACGTAAATCAAGAAATTATTACAAAAGGTTAATTGAGATTATTTTGTGGGATAACTTTTCCATTGATGAGAATGCTCTTCGTGGGATTACTTTTCCCATTACAAATGGACATTAAATGTGTAAAATTATCTACGTATTAGCATAAGTTGAAATAAAATATAACGATTAAAAAATATATTAATTTAACGAAATTGAAATTAAATTTACCCTCACCGATTCAAATTGTAACATATAGTTATGAGGTTTTAAAGTTGAAGTAGATAAAAAATAAAAGAGTCGTTATCTGTGTTGAAGAAAACAGATAAAGACAGTGACTTGATTTTAAAATTTTGGGTGGAAAGCATTTACTTCTATTTTGTAACTAAAAAGTTTTTCTTTACTTTTTAATGTAACCATATTTTTGTAGTTTAATAACCTTATTAAGGGGATTTTTTCTTTTGCAATTGAAAAGGTGAACAAAGAGTAAGGCTCATGTGGTTAATGACAAATTTTACAGGGCCATTGTGAAAACTCTCCGACTGCAGGTGGTTCCGCCCCTGTTTGTATATTTTCCGAACAATTTTTCATAGTATTTATAAGATAAAATGGCTTTGATACAATTTCCAGAAATCTACATACTTTTGGTATAATTCAAAAATAATCGAAAACCTTGGGACACAAAAGACTTGTAGTCGATAGAGCAGTGACTATTCATCATTTCGAGAAAAGGATGCGAGCACAGAATTTGCATCCTCCGAAGATTTAATATCTGGAAACACTACAACGGACTATGGTTTTTTAATTTGCGTATCAATAAATTATAAAAACAAAAATTCGACTGCAGCTCAGAATTATACTAGGAAAACAGCAACGCCAAGTTTGTTGGAAAAGCCAATGCAATGATTTCTTTGCTGCACAAAGAAAGTAAAAACTTGCGTTTAACAGAAGTACTACAAACGTATAAAAATATCAAGTGTTCTGCATTCAACTTTACACCAATGTATGAAGACTGAACTTAATTTTTTTCAATCAAACAAACTTTTCCAAGGAAAATTTGTATGAAATTTAATAAATAAAAAATCTTTTAAGAAATTCTATTGGTAACCAGATGGTTAAGGAATAATGTTATTTTATAAGGAAAAAAAAAGGGGGAAATTATAGTGTCTTTTAGACACTACTGATACTGGTGTCCTATATGGTTCATGGTGTGATGACTTAGGAAATCATACAAGCAAAAAATTCCATGCCACGAGTTACTAGACGTAGGAACTTAACCCTTATAGGAATACTACATCTCACATGCAACGAGCCGGACAAAGTGAATGATTTGGGAAACATGCAAAAAAAGGCTAAATAAAAAAATAAAATATATATATTTCACTTCAAACATGCAATCTTTCCAATTTCACGGTTGGTACACACATCGTGGGAGAGTTTGAATCCCAACTCTATCTTCACAGATTGATTCTACGACAGACAGTTCAAATTCACCAACAACAAATTTTCATGATCTTGAGAGCTAGTCATTAACCAGACGTGAAATAGAACATACCTTGATCACTCCACTGAAATTCCAGAAGAGATGCAAAGTTTTGAGTCCACACCACCACTTATCACACTATCATCTTTCCACCAATCAGCACACAACACCTATATTGAAAAGGCCAGATCATTGAAGTAACTGTTTTTACAATTGAGTTAATACTTAAAGGGCATGTTTGGCAAGCATTACTAAATATGACTGGACAATACAATAGACAATATTTCATCATTTTTTTCTTTCTTAATGCTAATCTAGTTTAATCCACCTTTCTAAACATGCCAAAAGTGAAAACATTGGATTGGAGGAGTACCTTATTCTTATGCGAGTCATTCACATGCAGTGGAAACTGCAAAAGAGAGTACACAATTCAGACAACTATTTTGTGAAGGGGCATAGAGGATAAAGTCAAATGAAGAATAGAATTGGATACCGCAGCTCTCAGATCCCATATCATAACTTTTCCATCATATGATGCAGAAACCAAGTGAAACCATGATTTATTGTGCCATTTGCAAGAAGAAATCCATGAATTATGTCCCGACAATTGAAAGATAGGATCATATTTCCCTGCACGAATAAATTCATGCCAGGCAGAAAATGTATCAGTCATTGGGGCAAGGCAATGGTAGCACGCACACATTCTTGCACATATATACACAAGCAGGTGTCCACAGAGAGAGAGAGACCTGGTTTTCGAGGATCCCATATCCGAATTATAGGGTCAGAACCGCCAGCTGCTATAAGGGTAGAACTTTCACCTCCAATATCCAGACAATTGATAGCCTTCCCACAGAACTGAGAGGAGATTGAATATAAAGGCTGTTAACTTCTATTTTCAATTATAATGATTCCATTTAGAATTTCGCTATAAAGAATTAAAATAGCATGCCAGCAAATGAAGCCTGTGTTATTCTCGTATGGAAGCACCTGATAAATATGGAAAATAATAATGCAGATGATATTTAACACTTTTGAAGTAAAAAATCTGCTAAAAACTAGGAATATAAGTTTGAGTCAGATTACACTGGTTGCTTCAACAAAATCTTCAAATCATTTCTACAGATAAAGGCAAAGCCATAGTGAAAAGTGATATCACTGCCAATGATAAAAAAAAGTAAGTCCCTGATGATGATTTCTTTTGGCCGACAATCTTTTGGCTGAATGATTTTCCCATTGGGATTTCTTACATTATATAGGAATAATATCAATCTAAATATGGTAGATGTAATCAACCTAAATTTGGTAAATACAAATTATATACAAAATTATGTTAAGTTATAATCTTCGTGATCTTCATCTATCTTCGTGATCTTCGTCAATCTCAATGATTTCTGTTGATCCCATTGGCATCCCCTCAAATTGATTCTGAATGATCAAAAAGCATTAATTCGTTGGCTAGTATACAAAAGAACTCAAAGGCCCAACTCCAATGGGTAGTCAAAAAAACCCACACACACAAGTTACAGTCCATCAATCAAAACACTAAGCCATACCTAACCCAAGCCCAATCGCATAAATCAACCCAAACCCTAAAGCTTAGCCCAATACACTTCACAGATCTAGCCTAAAAGACCCAAACCCACCAACCCGACCAACTCCATCTTCTCCAAAAACTTGAATTACCCTGTCACCAACCATTGCCGGTAGCACCCAACCGCTCATCGACGCAAAACAAGACCAGTTTTCACCTCTCAGCAATCACCAACGTCGGCACATTTCTTCTTGCTTCCCTTTGCACCATTGGATTTTGATGGAGTTGCACCCAGGTACACAAACAAAATTACTACAAAAACCACAGAGCTAAGGGACCCGTATTTCACCGACAGCCTCTTAGCCCACTCAAACATCTTCTCAAGAGGCAGGATTAGAGTTGAGTAAGCTTCCTGAAGTTTCTATTTAAACCTCTGCTTGCGGCTATTCAGCTCTTTTAGCTTGGATTGTGAAGGTGGGGCTCTGTGAGGTCCAAGATATTTCTTCTCTTCTTTACTAGCTTGAACTGTGGACGGTTTAGAATCTTCCACTTTTGACAAGTCAGTTTGATTGAGGTCTCGATCTCCAATAGTTAGGCTCGAAATCACAAATCCATCAATGTCCCACTTGTCTTCTTCATTGGAAGGAGTGGAATGCACTGGTGAGGGAGTCCATGTGATGCTGATGATCCTGGATTTGAGTTTGCAATTGATAATTCGATCGAGTCTTCACCACCGACACAATTATGAGTTGACTCGATCCGAAAGATTCAAGGCTTCAACGAAGATATCAATAATTGGGACTAAATCTAAGATTTTTTTTATTTTTATTTTTTTACGACTAGGAGATGGAAGAGTAAAATAAAAAGATAGAAACTAGAATATCAAAATAGGTTTGGGATGGTAGGAACTACACCGCACTAAATGCTCTAAAGAGTTACACATCGACAAAAATTCCATTAATCGTTGATTACCATAAGAGTCATACGTTGACAAAAATTATGTCGACTGTGGACAACCACAAGAGTTGAACATTGACAAAAATTCTAACAATAGTGGGAAAATAAAGGAACCCACACCTCAAAGGCTGAGTTATGCCCAAAGAAAATCAAGGATTCAGTAAGAGTCTACAAGGTAGGCTTTGATACCATGACAAACTTTTAACTGAATATTTTTCCATTGAGATTCTTACTAGAAAATCAAGGATTCAATAAGAGTCTACAAGGTTTGGATTGCTTAACTAGAAAAATTTACTTAGAGATCGGTCAAAGCAAATAGGGGTGGGCAAAACCCTACGGAACCCATCAAACCGAACCAACCCGGCCAGGTAAGGTCGGTTTTTTGTGATTTTTTCGAGGGGTTCGGTTTGTAGGCAAGCTAAGCGGGTTGGGTGATGGATAGGTTAACCCATCAAACCCAATATAACCCACCCAACCCGACCTGCCTATTTTAAAAAAATTATAATTCAATTAAAACCCATATTTATACAAAGCCACTCAGCAGTCAGCAAGCCTGCAACCATAATTTTCATTTCTCTCTTGCTCTCCCGGTCTAGACCTCAAATCGTCGCCACTGTTGATCTTCATTTTAACATGCCAAGGCCGATCTTCGTTTTTAAGTTTTAACTTACCAACGTCGGTCGCCGATATTACATGGTAAGTCAATACTAAATCGTCCTTCAAATCTAGCTCTATTGTATGTGGTGAGAGTGTATTTTCTATTTTCTTTACCAACCCTAATCACTAATCAAGATTTGCAGATTCAAGCATTTCGTAGTCTAAACTGATTTTCTTGATAATAGAGGATTTGTATGCTTTTCCAGCAATACGTACCTTTATTTTTTTTTCAAAATTGTCTTTTAATTCTAAAATGGAAATTGACGAAGTCCGTGTATAAAAAGCAAAAGCATCAGGAACCATTCTATGAATCTATCTCTTCCCTTTTTTTGTTAGTTTTGATTTTTTGATTCATGATGAAACCCAGATTGCTGAAGCATATATTGTTGCTATTAGATCTTTGGAAATTGGAATATTACTTAAGGAAATGGACACAGCCACAGGTGCAGTATTCTTGCTTTCTTGTATTGCATTAATACTTTTAATTGAATATATCAATTTGGGGTGTGTATAATTTTGGTGGAATATGTTGGCAGATATGGATGAATGTGAAGTACATAGCACAGAAGCTCCATTAAATGACACGGATTTGCAAGCAGGTCTTCCTCCACGTGCACCGTCAACATTATGTAAGTGGAAATCTAATAGATTAACTTCATATATTTGGGATCACTTGACACTATTGGGCTCAAGGAATGATCAAGATGTTAGGTGTAAATGTAACTATTGTGGAGTATATTATGCTTGTGGCACTAAGAAGTGTGCTACTAGCACATTAGGCAATCATTTGACAAATAATTGTAAGAAGTATCCAGATAGATTGGTGGATAAGAAGCAAAAAATCATTTCTTTTGAGAACAAAAAAGAGGGTGGTGGGAGCAACCTTATTGCTATTGGTCGAAGTAAAGAAGAGTGTAGAGTTGCATGTGCTAAGATTGTAGTATTGGATGAATTACCTTTTAGGTTTGTTGAAACTCGTGGTTTCAGGCTCTTTTGTAGTGTAGCATATCTCAAGCTCCAACTCGGAGGACTCTCGTTAGAGACATTTATCAATTGTATTTAGATGAAAAACTAAAATTGAGAGATATCTTTTCTTTTCACCGTCAAAGGGTTTCTCACACAACTGATATTTGGACTTCAATTCAAAATGTTAATTACATGAATAAACGTATTTTGAGTTTTTGTATTGTTCCAAATCACAAGGGTGAAACAATTGGAAAATTATTTAGACCTGTTTGCACGATTGGGGAATTGAGAGTTTTTACGATCAACGTTGATAAGCTCTAATGATGTGGCTATTTCTTATCTTAGGAGAAAGTTAGTTGCTTAGGGTAGTGATGGATGTATTCTAGATAGAAGATATTTGCACTTCAGGTGTTGTGCACACACTATAAATTTGATTGTTTGTGAGGGTTTGAGGGAAGTACGTGACTCCATTGCGAATATCTGCAATCAAATATGTGAAATCTTCTCCTACTAGGCATGAAAAATTGAAGGAGTGTGTGAGGAAAGAGAAGATTGATTGCAAGTTTATTGTGTTTTTGGATGTTCCAACTAAGTGGAATTCTACCTATTTGATGTTGGAAACGGCATTGAAATTTGAGAAAGCTTTCGACAAGTTAGAAGAAGAGAATGCTCAATATTTGCATTACTTTCGGGAAGATGGTGATAGAAAGAGAGGTGGACCTCCTTCAAGTTTAGGTTGAGAAAATGGATGTGTTTGTCAAGTTTCCTAAAAATTTCTTTAATGTGGCTTTGACTTTTAGTGCTTCGTTGCAAGTTAGTGCTTGCGCTTATCTTCATAAAATTTTTAATCTTGAAATCGAATTAGATGAATAGAGATTAAGTCGCAATTTTCTATTGGGTGAAATGCCGACTAACATGAAGTTCGAAAAGTATTGGGGTAAAATGGAAAATGTGAATCAATTGTTGTTTATTGCTACTGTCATTGATCCAAGATACAAAATAAATTGTTTTGAATACTGTTTTAGTGATATATACATGGATGGGGGAGTTGTTAGTATCATGATGAAATCTTTGAAAGTCGATCTATTGGATATTTATGTGAGATGTGGCTTGAGAAGGTGTTCATGAAAGCAGTCAAGTATCAACTCATGAGTATTTGAGTTCTTTCAATTCAGATAAAGGCAGTTCTTCTTCTATAAGTGATGCTGACCTTTCTAGATTTCTAAAAAAAACAAGCGGCAAAAGATTGTACCGAAATAAAAAATGATGTGAAAAGATACTTGATGCTCGTGAAAGCATAGAGAACAAGGACTTTAATGTTCTCGATTGGTGGAAGGTTAGACAAAAGTAAGTATGGTGTCTTGTCCAATTTGTCTAAGGATGTGTTAGCAATTCAAGTTTCAACAGTTGCTTCAGAAAGTGTTTTTAGCACTAGAGGAATGAAAATTAATCCTTTTCATAGTTCATTAAGTCCTAAAATGGTATACACACAAAATTGGTTGAAAGCTTCTCCAAATTTAGACAATTTCTACAAGGAAGATGTTGAGCATTACAACGAATAAGATGAAGGTAATATATTTTTCTTTCATAAATTTTGTTATTTTGACTTTATTTCTATTATTTTGTTGTCAGCTTAATCATTTTTTATTATTTTTTTATTTTTTAAAAAAAAAAATTTGTAGAATTAGAATCAATGAAATCAAAATTGAATAAAGATGATCAAGGGAAGGTCACGAGAATTAACAAGTTTCCATAAATATTTATAATCAATTTTTAGAAAAACTGGTAAAAAAGGTGGTTGAAAAAAGTCGATCTGAACCTTTAGATCTTACTAATGCCAAAATTATCTCTTGAGAAATGGGTTCCTATAGTTCAAGTGTGATCCCATGATTGGCTGGCTCAAATTTTAGGTTATATGGATGTTAAATCATTAGTTTCTCAGCGGCTTTGACAAAAAACCTGGACCAATTTTTGATCTGTTTCAAAAGGATCTAGAAAGCTTCACAAGGTTCAAACTAGCGCCCTTGAATTTGATCTATGTCATCTCACCTCTTATTTTGTAATGCTACCTAAATATCATTGTCTATATGATTTAAAGAATTCAAATAAGCAAACTGATTATTAATACCTTTGGGGAATAGAAATATGGCATATTGCCACATGATATATATGAACTTGATAAAGACATAAATAATGTACAACTTGAATGTAAAGGGGTGCCTACAAATGATTTTAAAAAATTGTTTTTTTATAATTGACGTGCAGAGGAAGGAAATGAGATGTCAATGAAATTAAAACGAATGTACAGACATATAAAACAAGCTGGGTAATCATGTAGTGGCAAAAATGTTGATTATGGAGCATCTTTTGAAGCTAAATCAATAACCACAATATCATATGACAAAAGAAATCAAAGATTGAGTCAAAACCTAGGTTGGCTATAAAAATACTAGAAGTATGACTTTACATTTTTAATTACTATGCTCCTTTACTTTATAAAATCCATTATTTTTTTATCTTAAAACAAGACTTCACATTTAAACTTAGTATACCTCGACCACTTTATAGGACAGATCGATCTTAAGAAGATCATAGCTTAGAGTCATCGAGTATACTTAGACCACACTGGTATGTTTAGTCGGGCTGTGTATTTTGTTCCTCATATTTCTGTTAAAAGATACTTTTGTTTAGACCGCCGACCCGACTACGACTCAGTGATTAACCACAGTCCCATTGGGTGAACCGGTGACCTCACCCAGTGCTTTAGCCAGTTTAATGACCTAGTCAGGTTTAACTATGCTCTATATAGTTCTTGTATACATCAAGTCACCCCTTTCGTCATTTATTTATCAAATCTGGGTTTATAGAAACAAGCTCATTGCATGCTACGTACAAGTAAACTTCGTTTTCTTTCGTTTCTTTCCCCTTCCAAACCTGGACTCTACAGGTTTGATAATTATGCTCTATATAGTTTCTGGTATACACGAAGCACCCCTATGTTTTTTATTTAATAAAACATGGGCTNAGAGCCGCGTCATTAGCCCCAAAAAATATAGTGGTAGCGACCGGAGGCGTTGCAGATCCCTGCCAATCAATCAGAAAAGATCCCTACATTGAGATCAAAAATTGAAATGAAGTATAGGAAACTGAACCAACATTAAACTTGGGTTAAAGTCTCCATTAACAAAAAGAAAGGTTTCTAAAAGGTATTTACTTATCACTACACCCTCACGCTGAGGTGCATAGAATCAGGAAAGTAAAAAACGAAAACGCTAAGGAACAAAACAAAGATGATACAGAAATAAAATTAACTTCATTGTGCAAAATTCAACAAGAATAAAGCAAAAAAAATAAAGATCTGGACAAATTACCATAGGGAAAAGGTGATTCAACAAAAATAAAGCCCACTTGGTGTTGTACCCACCATAACCACGTACAACAACATAAGCCTACAACATCGAACAGGTAAATTATGCATATCAAAGTGAATAAAAAATCAACTGATTTGAAATATATAGTTAAAAAAAATTAATTAATTGAAAAATGAAACCTTGCGAGAGTAAGTATCAGCAAGAGCAGCACCCCAACACCTAATCTGAAAGATTGCTCTATAATTGAGTCCCCAAACAACACTATTTGAGAACGCCATAAAACTCATTTACGGCATGCATTTTAGCAACTGAAAAAAGAAGTGAAGCTAGACATGTCACCTTCCAAAACTTTATGGTTTTGTCGTTAATGGACAGAAGAAAAAGCACACCATTAGCTGCCTGGCACCACTCAGTTAAAGCCTTGTTAGACAGACATAAGAAAAATGGTAAGAATGCTATAAAATTAATTATCTCCAGAGATGAGCGTATAATGAAAAACACCAACTTCGTCTTGGAAGAGAAATAGTGTACAGTACTAATACTTGGAATTATTCCATGTATTGTCAATCATCGTTTGAGGGACAAGGTGACTGTTGACTATTTCAAAAACTTCAAGTTCTACTGAAGTTTGAATGACCAACATCAATTAAGATGGTCGCAGGGAGGATAGGCAATTTTTAAAAACCCCTGAATTTCAATAACTTTTAAGCCATTTCAACAACCCAGAAGACTTATAATAGATGCTACTATGTCATATTTGTATTCAAATTCACATTGTCCTAAGCAGAAGTGCAGAACCACTCAGTCTTAAGTCCACCCCTTGTGTAAAGCAATCCTCCTAAATTACCACTGAACAAGAATTGAGGATAAAAGACTATGGACTTGTAGTATGTTCTATCACAATGTAAAGACTTAATATATCATAAAATCTATTTTTATATGAGCTCCTGGAACATGATTTCAATTACATGTGCTGCCAAATCTGTTCTTGAGAAAAAACAGACATAATTGTTAAACGAAGAGATGTAAAGATAATATTCACAAGCTACAACCAACCCAACGGAGAAAACGTACGCACACAAACACAGTGTTTATCAAAATAACAATATCAACGCTGCTAATTTCAGTAATTTGTTCATAAATGAATTTGACGTCTACTAGATTTTTGCAATATATAACCAAGTGCTTACTGTTAAGGCAATTAAAATTTGTTAACCAGAATACTACAAAGAAAACTAGCTTATTGGGAAATCACCTTATACCTTTTGTATTGATGACACAAACTGAAGTAAGTGGGCCAGTATGCCCTTCTAATACATGTGTACAGATTCCAGCATCTTTCCATATCCTAAGAGGTATCAACCAAAATTAATTGCAACGTCAAATTCTCAGTAATAAATAATTACATAGAAAAGAACAACGATTTGATTGACATATATATACTGTTACCTTCCCAAACCATCATAGCATCCAGTCAAAATGTACCTGTCACAGAAAATACACAGAGGTTCACCATATTGCTGATGTGAATTGGTGGATTAGGGAAGGCAGAGATGAATCGTTCTTCAAATTAGTATTTAAATGAGGAGAAATAACATGAAATTAATATTTGAATGTATAAAAACCATAATCATCACGAGCTGAAAGGTAGAACATAAAATGGCAATTACAGCCATGCAAGTTTAAATCCTACCCGTCATGTGAACCATCAACGGCACTAACCCAATCATCATGTAAAGAAATATCTTCTTTTCTCGGGGCCACAACTTTGATGTATTCAATTTCTATCACTCTTTCCTGCAGAATGTCACTGACCATAGTTAAAAAATAAATAAATAAACAAATAATAATAATTTTAAAAAAATGACCATAAGAACTAAAAAAAGACAAAATATCATGCAGGCATCGACAACTATGAAAGATCAAAACACTTGTATCCCCAGAAATTGATAACTCCTGGAGCTCAAACACCTAGATCAATTCTATTAACCTTCCCAACATTACAAGCTCAATTCACTTTTAAAGCTATACACTTTTACTTTTGGGCGAAGTTCTTGGTTAATAAACTAGTAATACTGTAATATTACACATTATAGCAACTGACATACAATTGGATTTCAATAGTTCTATGAAAAAGCACCAAACACCGCTTCTTAAATAGACTTACAGCAGAAATGCCTTTGGAAAGAAGAAAATCTTCAAGCGACATTCGAAGAAATTTTCCATCGATTAGGAAATCAAAAGGCTGATACTGCCAATCATCAACTCCTGTACATCAATGGAATAAAAGTCATAAACAAAGCAATATAGTTTAGGTGCTTCAAGTCTGGCAACGAAAAGCAAGCAAATTCAACAATATATCACCACCAAGAATTCTAATCCCCCAAAACTTACTTTACTCTGTAAATAGATAAACTGTTTACTTTATCAGTATTTTGCAAGTGACTTTGATCCTAAAAGGAGTAAAGCTACTCTTGAGTTTAGATAATTTACTTTTTTCTTACTTTTAAGTAAAAAAAGTTCCATTTTTCAAAGTTAACTGCTATATTGCTGTCAAAACAATTGGATAATTTACTTTTTCTCTTACAAAAAGTTATTTTTCCTGAAGTGACATTACTGTCAAGATACACAAGTTACTTATTTACAAATTTCACCAGTAAAATATTATTAGTTTTAAAAATACCTTTTTTTCTCAAATGCAAACCTTTTAAGCTTAATCAAACATGCTCTTCATTACAAAATAAAACGAAGAAATTGAAAAGATAAAGTAGAATGTAGAAAGAACGGTACCAGCTTCGAGGATTTTGTTGACTATATCGGAGAGGCGCCAGCGGGTGATATTCGTGGGAATGGCAAGGGTAGCTGTAGGCGCTTTATATGGTGGCTTTAACTTTGTTACGAATCGGACTTGCACCTGCCTCGACGACTCTTCTACGCCGTCAATATCCATATTCGTCTATTTGTGTGAGAGAGCGTCCGGTGCCGTAGTTGAGTTAGAAGCGGACGACCGTGGCAGTTGGCGGACTAGGCAGAGACTAGGGTTTCAAGGGGAAAGAGGTCAGGGTTTTAACTGAACGTTATTTTCCGTGACAAAAAACCAAATTTTAGGAAAATTGGCGCAAACGTTTTTTGTCCCAAACCTTTAAATTTTAGTACTGGAGTCCCAATTTTTGTCATTAAGTGCACAACTGGTCCTTTTATATGAATTCCATCCAAAATGACAACACTTCCATTTAATTTGTTCCTATTGCAAGAGAATTTTTGTCAAATATTAAATAAAATTAAAAATATCATCTTGTCTCACAACCCACCCCACCCTGATCTCCACCCCGACTTGTCACTCACCATGTCCCAAATTCAGGTAACTTCTTCCAACATAAAAGAGTAGTGGCCTGGCGAGCCTCTATCAACTTCCACTACCAACTAACTTGCAATATACATGCACGTGCCATCGCAATTACTCTCTCTTGTTTTTGTATTGTAGTTATAATTCAATTGATGATCGTGGTTGGCGAAGGTCATGTATAGCGAGAGAAGATCTATAATTTTAGAGTTTGTTGAGTAGGTTGGGGTTGGCACAGGATACCTATAACGCAACATTCTTAATTCTTTTGATTACTATGTCTATCTTAATTAGTTGTATTAATATTATACTTATTGTATAATATCATAATTATCTCCGTCTTGACTAACTACGTATATACCTTGAACGCCTTAAACGATCCATGTACCTTACAATTCTAGACTTGAGATAAATATAATTTCACTTCACCTTGGACGCTCTTGACAATTAACTTATTTATTAATTTAATTATGATATGTTTATAATTTTACTAAGCTCGAATAATTATATAATGTAAATTGTACTTATGGTTAGTCTTATTTAGAGATTGATTAAAAATTGAATTGGAAGATTTCTTTTATTAAGCACATTTTTACTTAAGTTAATTAAAGATAATAATTTGGGGTTTTATAATGTAAATTTAGTAACTAGTCAGTCATGTGTTATGACTAAATAAGTTACTAGAGCAAGAGTAGGTACCTAATTACTTAGTTATCATATTTTATGCTCAGTGAACCCACTGAATTAGAAGTATTGTTCTTCCTGCTTATGCATTTCCATGCAGATTAATATATATTCCAAAAGATTACACTTGGAGTCTCCTTCACAGTTTTGAATCTTTATCAATGGTTAAGGTATTAAGATTTTAATATTACTGCTATCATTTGGTGAATCCAATTATAATTTTATGTCTTCATTAGCCACTACACTTCAATTGAACAATAGTATACTCTATCATTTCAATACCCATAGTCCCACACGTTTGTGTATACATAATTACATATTTGTATTTATATATTTTACTAGGTGCAAGTAACGTGCAATGCACGTTTGCTTAGTTTATATTTAATATTTTTGTTTAATAATTAATTTGTTATTAACAAATATGTAATTTTTTCTGGTTAATTAAGGGCGTATCTGGGCGCCCTGCAAGGAGGAAGGAAGATTGATTATGTTACCCTTTTTTTTTCAAACCTACAGCCCTATAGTGAGAGAATTGGTCCAAAATTGCGGCTCTCAACGACATGAATTGTGTTGCCAACGGCTTGATTTCTATTGAAAAGCAGAAACAGACACCCTATAAATAATTAATGATGTAATGTTTATTTAATTGATAAATAATTAGATGTGTGATTTTGATATTGTGATGTAGGTTGGTGAGATTGAAGAGAATAAGCAAAAGTAGACAAATTTGGAGAAATGGCTAAATTGTAAGGGATCCAAAATTCGGGGGCTAAAATGTAAATACTTAAAAGTTGTGCCGAATCTCACGATGAAGATTTGAGAGTGCTCGAAGTCAATTGGATAAAGGAAGATGTCAAGGGGATCAAATTTAGTTAAAAGATGATTACAAATCAATTTCCAACCGAAAAGTTATGCTCCGATGTTTTAATCTCATAT